CCGCTAAAATTGCTCGCTCACTCAACCACTCATTGTTTTGTAGTTAGTAATCATGTTTGGGAATACTTTGCTGATAAGTTCGTCTTTCGATGAGACAAAGTTACAGAAATTCTGAGGAAATGAAATCAATCCGCTCGATGCGTCGACCGGTACTCGCCCATTAAGTCAGCAATTGCTCAGAGAAATCTTCAGCAGATGTATCATTAGGCAATGCAACTCTCATGTTTGTTGTTAGCTGAAGTTTCTTCACAAAAGCGCCATAGATTCGAGTCATTGCGTAGATGTTTCAATGTTTCAATGTATTTAGGGCATTCAATTAAAATGTGGTTTACACTCTGAACTGCATCACAATCGTCGCATCTAGGTGGATCAGTATTTGTCAGAAGGTAGCCGTGTGTAAATCTTGTGTGACCAAGACGAAGGCGCGTGAGAATCACTTGTGCTTTTCTGCTCTTACAACTTGGTTGCCAACCCAAGATATTGTTTTTAATATTACGCAATTCTGATCGCGAATTTAACCACTCTTGATTCCACAAACATGACAATTTATTTTTGAAAAAGACTTCCAAATCACTCGGTGCACTGCGAGATACTACTTCTGGTTCAGCACTTACTATCGCGTTTTGCGCACATTGGTCTGCTTCTTCATTTCCGTCTATCCCGTTGCGCGTTGTGAGACGGGATCCACATAGTGCTGATCTTCCGGGAGTTTTTTTTTGCTTCCAACAGTTCTGATTTCATCATTTTGGCAATAGGATTGATAGGATAAATTTGCTGTGATATTTCTACTGAACTAAAGGAGTCTGTGAGGATTAGGCCTAACGAAGAATTGGAAGATTAATGTACTGGATTGCCTTGTATAATGCATACAGTTCTGCAGAAAAGACGGTGGTGTCAGAGGGCAGTTTATATTTGAAATCATCGTTAGGAGTTACCACCGCTGCACCAACACCATTGTCGGTTTTTGAGGCATCGGTATATACTTTCGTGAAATTATGGTAACGCTAGTTGCACACACACCGATTTTGGACGGCCGACTTTGTACCGGTCGTCCAAATTCCAATAGTGAACCACATATGGAAACGGGACCTGGCACACACGCCGACCGGTGATCGTCACTGGTAAAATACCAGTGAGCAGCCGTCCACTGCCACTGTATCGTCGGCAGTACCGGGAAGTAGTAGCGTACATGACTAAATACACTCTTGCATACTCACCGGTTTTTTACTGACCATTCCACTCTCGAATGCTCGGTGAAATTGTAGCAGGGGACGGCTGTTCACCGGTATTTTACCGGCGACGATCACCGGTCGGCGTGTGTGCCAGGTCCCGTTCCCACATGTGATTCACTATTGGAATTTGGACGACCGGTACAATGTATGTAAATTTGTGTTGATTTCAGGAATTGCTATAGTCCAAGGGGGTGGATGGTTGAGATCTAACGGATAGACATCCGGAAACTCAATGTTTAGGTGCTGAAGATACGTTCGAATTCTTTCATAGTATGGCTTAGGTGTGCGTATCTTCCCATCGAAATAGTGCCGGTATTTATTGGTAAACGTATTATTGTACAAAGGCTTATTTTCATTTGCTGCTATGGATTTGGCATGTGATAAGGTTGAATGGAGTCGTTTCTAGTCAACAATTTTTTTCTTACACGAAGTTTTCATATACGTAGCGGAACTGCTTCGAAATTATTCGAATCCCAGGTACTTTGCTGAGTCGGATCTTTCCTGCAGTGATGAGAGAAAATACTTCGAAAGTTGACTGTGAGTAATCAACTCGAATTAATTCAGCATTGATGTACAAGAAACATCTGCAAAAGTAACCTCTGTGAGGCATCTTTCACAAATTTATGTCGGGTACAATTCAATATCCAGCGTGTTTTCAGCCAGGGAAGTAGTTGTTTTTCGGCAGGCATTTTCCAGAACCTACTGTGTAGGTAATTTGAAGAAATTGATATTTCGAGATTTTCTTTCGAAATATTAATTTTTCAAGTGTGTATCTCTGCTTGATACAGTCTGCAGTCTTCAGACAAATTCTCTTACAGTAATTTAACTAGTCCCATGTCACAATCGCATTGCCTTTGTTTCCTTTTAGATAGCACATATCTCTCTCCCTCTCACACACCCTCTCTTTCAAATGTTTGATGGTTTTTTTTCTGACTTTTTCCACCCGAAATTATTGATGTGCCTCTGTAAGTGACAGTGTATCCTATTTTAGAGTTAGGGATCAGTGAACGCACCCCTACGAACGACAACCCTCAGAAGTCGAAACTTGTGCGAGCAAAGGATTAACGAGGTCTTACCTTTAACGTGTGATTCCTAACACGGGTTGACGATAACAAGTGAGAATAGATCGTTCAGACTAGGGCTTGAACCAATGAGCAACACGGCAGTCAATTCGAGTGAGTGAACAAACATCTGCGTTGAACCGTTGAACCGACACATCAGTATTGTAATACTTTTCACATCTAGTCAGTGAGCATACTTGAAAACTGGCTATGAATCAAAACATCTAAGGTCAGTCTCAATTCCCCACAATATAGGTTAATGGGCTAACACACAGAAAACAACTACTTTCCTGGCTAATACCACGAAAGGAGTTGTATTATATTCGACAGGTATCAGTGCAGGATTCTTCACTATTTCTGCATATGCTGTTGGCGGTACAACTGCCGCAATATATTCTCAATTCTGTCTATTTAAATCTGTTTAAAATCTGTTTTCAGTTAATCAGCAGAACATACTTGCAGACCGGTTTCAGTCTGTTTGGCAACACGTCAGTGCAAGGTCATTAATATTAAGTCTTTGATTTCCGATAATTGAACTATATGTGAAAAGTTTTCTTTCCTAATACGAAGAATTGGGCAAATTTTGGGTATTCAGTTGGTTACCTCGTTCACAGGCAGATAGAGCGATGACAAATCTGTAATTTGTTGTTGCCTACTTCGTAGAATGATACTCTGAAGGTATTCGATTTTCAATTATCGAAAATCATCGACTTTATGTTGATGATAGACACAACCTAGCACTGACCGGTCTGCAGGTGTGTTTCAATAATTGAGAATATATTGCATATGCAGAAATGACTTCAGTGAAGAATCTTGCACTGACACTTATCGTATATAATCTAACGCTCTTCGTGGTATTAGCCAGGGAACTGATAGGTGTCAGTCCATCAACTTACAGTGTGGGAAGTTTAGACTGGCCTGAACGAATTGTCCCTTCAGATGATTAGTATTGTAATATATACATGCACAATCTTTCATATACAGGGCTGCGCAAAGTCTGGAATGAAATTAATATCTTTTTAATCAGTATTTTAGGAAAAAAAAACGCTGAAACACGTCAGTTGATTTCACGTTGTACGCATTTTTTGGCAATAAAATGAAATATTTTTTTTTCAACCACTAAGCTGCAACCCTTCCCTTTTAAAACCAAAAAAGTTAGAAATACCTACTTAGTGCTATCTACGGATGAATTAACGTTGCAAAAAACAAATAAGTGGTGATGATGTACATTGCTCAACAATTGCTAAGGATCACCAGTACCTACTTTCTAAAAATTTACAAATTTTAAGAAAGATCCACATTTGTCAACGGTTTCATTAGTTCAAAACAATCTTGCATCTAGACGTACGATTGGGAGGTTTTTGAAAACAGAAAAATACCATTCATATAAGGTATGTCTTGTCCAAGAGCTCTTGGAAGATGACAGGCTTTGCAATTTTGTGAGGAAATAATGAGGCGATGTGACGACAATAATGGGTTTCCACTCAACGTACTCTTTTCGGACGAAGCTACTTTTTATTTACATGGAGTAGTTAACAGGCACAACTATCGATTCTGGAGTCAGGAAAACCCACACTGGATATGCGAAGCTCGTACGCAGCGTCCTCAGAAAGTGAATGTATGGGCAGGCATCATCAACAACAGAATATTAGGGCCATACTTTTTTGAGGGAAACCTTACAGCTGCCCGCTACTTAGACTTTTTACGCTTTGAATTAGTCCCTGCTTTAGCTGTTATGTTTCCCAATGAAGCATATCCAGGTATCTCCACTGAAACACTTTGGTTCCAACAGGACAGCGCTCCCCCACATTTTGGTGTCTATGTCAGAGAATATCTCGATGACATATTTGCAGGACGCTGGATTGGACGACGTGGTGTAATTAAATGGCCGCCAAGATCCCCAGACTTAACGCCATCAGATCATTTTTATTGGGGATATATGAAAGGCCGGCTAAAAATCAGAGAGGAATCACATAACATACCGGCTGAGGCCATTCGGAATTCCGTAGACGGGTTTTACCATCGCCTAGGAGCCTGCCAAGTAGAGGGTGGGGGCCAATTTCAGCATCTGTTACGTTAATTCACCCGTAGATAGCACTAAGTTAGGTATTTGTAACTTCTCAAAAGAGTTTTTTCTCATTTCGTTGTAACCACAAAAAAAAGGGTATGGTCAGAATCCATTTTTTACGAGCTTTTCAATGAGCTCATACCCGACATAGGTTTGCATTTGAAAAAAAAGCTGGGGAGGGTTGCAGCTAAGGGGTTGAAAAAAACATTTCATTTTATTGCCAAAAAATGCGTACAACGTGAAATCAACTGACGTGTTTCAGCGTTTTTTTACTAAAATACTTGTTAAAAATTATTAATTTTACTCCGGACTTTGGTGCCCTGCTGTATAAATTATTCCCCCTGAAAACTACCTCCCCGAAAGCCATAAATTGCCCTTCATGAAGGTTTTATCTAAATCTACTCTTGAAACACTTTCATTAAAGACAAATGGATTGCCAGATAGATTTTATCAATTACACGTTCAGAATTAAAGTTCAGATTATTTGAATTGTTAGACATTCTCCGGACTATTTTCATAATTTTTTTATCAAAACAGTTGCGCTTTTATGAAACTTGGTTTGACGTTATGTATTTCCACAGCGTCAAATCGCTCCTACACAATCTCTATTGATATTACAACTAATTAATTTGATTACAGGCTCTGAAAGATTTGAAGAACCATAGCACAAATCTACACTACAAAGTGAAATATTACCCAGAAGATATTGGAGAAGAGCTAATTGAAAGTATTACCATCGAATTTTTTTTCTTACAAGTTAAATTGTGTATTTTGAGTGATGAAATCTACTGTCCTGCAGATACATGTGTCCTCCTTGCATCGTATGCTCTACAGGTCAAATATGGAGATTACAGTCCCGATACACATAACAAAGATATTCTTCAAAAGCAGAAACTTTTACCAGATAGGTAAGTGGTTCAACATGTATTAATGCAAATAATGAGTGACTCAGTTGGTAGAAGTTTGAAGTAACATTAACATTTTCGCATGCAAATACCAAGTTACAAATGAAACACAAAGTTTTCTATCTCACTTTAGTCGAAAAATCATCCTATTCATTCGGTGATAAATAAGAGATTACTGAAGTGATATGCAAAAAGTTGACTGTGGCCAAATTGAGTGAACTGTTTAATGATTTGTATATAGAAACCGAAAGAAACTTTTAACGAAATGAAAAGCATAAAATGCTTTTAAAATTCATTTGCATGAATTTCAGATAAAAAATTAACATATAGTATTTTTATAGAAATGTAAAAGTAGGGGTATTTGATTATATTATCGTCTATGACCTTACAAGTGTCTGTTTGTCGCTTCTACGATAAGAAACACAACATTATTCAAGCGAAAACTGAAAACATTGTTCAATAGAATAAAAATAGAACTGTTGTTTGATAAAAAATGCAAAGATCCACATGAAGTTTACAATGGCCGAGTTGAAGATTACTTCATTAGAAATTATCATTATATTTCTCTCCTGTGGATTGCTTAGCAGTCTGGTCACAAGATCATTTTTTTGGAACTTCTGTCCAAGGGCACCGAAAATCATGATCCAGGGCTTATTCGATTCGGAATGACCTCTAGCGACGTTTTGGAAAATTTCATTAGGGGCTGGAAAAAATTGCAAAAGTTATAAACAATTCAGTAGGAAATAGGGGGATTTCTTAAAAAAAAAGTTCCAACTCTCGGAACTCTATCACCAAAATTTATAATTCTGATCTAGAGGCGAAAATAGCGCTAAAAGGAAGCGATGGGCGTCCTGCACGCGCTAACCGATACGGACTATTAAAAAAAAAATTACATGCCTTCTTAGTCCAGTCATTATAGTAAGTTCACCTCGGAATTCGAGATACCCAGCTGTAAGTCTGTAAATACCTGTATATTGACACCCTAAAAGTTGTCTCAAAACCTACATATGGTAGGGTGTAAGCAACTATTAAATTTCAAGGTCAAAGGTCACAAAAATCGGTTTTTTGCGCTTTTTTTGGAAATATCTCATTTCCTATGGGTTTTTTGCNTCCATGTATAGAGTTACTTATTTTCAAATTGATTACTTCCTTCATTTCTTTGGAAGATTCCCTCATCTTCTTTTTGTTGTATCAAGATGGAGTAGTAGAAAGCCAAAAACTTTCTTTCCGAAAATGACAATAAAGTATATTATTATTATTATTAACTCAAGGAGTTTGATTCATATGATTCGAATTGTTATTATACCCATCTGATGAGTAGTTTCTAACTCAACTAAGTTCAAATAAAATTATAAGTCACTACTCAGGTAGAAGTTACTATAATCCAAATTGTTGTCGTATAACAAACAAATCAAGTAGAATTTAATCAGTATGAAAACGCTTGAGTAATCTATTGTATGGGAAAACACGTGTTGCAGTTGTATGCTGTTTTATAAACTGTTTGATGGAAATCTCATAAGTAGTGTTTAACAATAATTTGTTTACCTCCTTGTTTTAAATACCAATCTACAAACATGAGCATTTCCGAGAAGGTGACTCACAGTAAAGGTGGATAAATCGTGAATAATGTTTAAAGGTGTATGCAAAGCAAGAAAGACCAACAAGCTCTAGTAATTCCTCTACAGTCTGGCTCAAAAGGTCCTTTTTTGGAACTTCTGTCTAAGGGCACCGAAAACTATGATCCAGGGCTCATTAGATTCGAAATGACCTCTAGCAACTTTTTGAAAAATTTCAAGAGGCGCTCAAAAAAATTGCAAAAGATATGAACAATTCGGTAAAAAAGAAGGGTTTGGTTTTTTGCAAATATCTCGGAAAATATTAAGGATATCTGAAATTTGACAAAAGATCTGAAAACCTCAAATTTTGTTCACTTTCCTTTAAAACATTCAGAAAAGATTCCTGTTGGGAGGAGTGGAAAATTTTGATTTTCCACTTTGTTATTGATGATCAAAGACGTTAAAAAGTGAAAAATTCAATTGATTATTCAGATGAAAAAAAAATTTTATGATTTTAAGCTCTATTTGTTCAGAAAATTGTTACAAAAAATTCATTTTTCATGAGATATTTGAATTTTTTCGGAGTAATTCTTATCAGTGACGAATATCATTGTTTTCAGAAACTTGGTTTGTTTCTTGGAAAAAACATTTATTGTCTCAAAACGCATTTGTTGATTAATAATTTTTGTTTGTTACTAAATTTGAATAATAAGGAACGATTTTTTCAAATCATAATTCCTATTCCTCTTTGATATTCTGAAATGTACTCATCTATTTATTTTTTGATTCTCATAGAACTATTTTCCAGCAGCTTGACTGCTCTTTAAATATGATTTTGAGAATAACGTTCAACATGACAACGACAATTTTTGACAGTGAACAATGTTTCAATATTAAAGGATGTATTCAGGTTTTTTTGTTAATAAACAAGACAAAATTGTGCTGAGATTGTCGATGTCTGTCTTTTTGTGGATATTGTTTTCTTCAATTTTCATTTCAGCCATCGACAGTAATCGACTGAATGATCATTATCTAGAATGTGCTGTGTTAGAGCATAAGAATTTTGTTTTGAATTTTTACAATTACTTCTATATATATTTTTCAGGTTGAGAACACAGTTTTCTATGGGGGCAACAGAGTGGAACAAAAACATTGAAAATATGTGGGTCAAGCATAAAGGTTTGGATAAAGAAGAGGCCATGTTAGAGTACTTGAAACTGGTACAAAATCTGGAAATGTATGGGGTAACATATTTCAATATAACAAATAAGAAAGGGACAAACCTTCTTCTTGGCGTCACGGCATTGGGGCTCAACATTTACAAAACCGAAGACAGGTGAGACAAGAGATATATGAATAATATTTTTATAGGACAACATATACTTCAAGGTTGAATCCAACAGTCTCATTTCCATGGTCAGAAATCAAGAACCTGAAATTCAAGGATAGAAAATTTATAATAAAACCAACTGATAAAACTGCCAAGGATTTCGTTATCTTCACTTCAAGTGGTAGAATGAGCAAATACGTTCTCAACTTAGGAGTAGGAAACCATTCTCTCTATGTCAGGAGAAGAAAACCAGATTCACCAGACATCGTTAAAATGAAAGAAAAAGCCAACGAAATCAAGCATAACAGGAATTTACAAAAGTAAGAAAATAATAATCAAATACGAGTGAATCTGTCAATAAGGACATGAATTGATACGTACGTAACTGAAGGTATACACAAAAGTAGCATCAACGACTAGGTATATCGATTTCATGAATATTATATATTTTTAAATTTTTTCAGTTTTTCTCACTTCGAAACATTTTTTGGAAAAACGCAATACAGTTTCTTGAATCTTAGAAAATATCTAGTTTCCAATAAGATTATTGTTTTTTCGTCTTTGTGGTTGTTTTGAAATATATTATACGGTAGAATTGAATGAAATCATTTCTAGTGGTCAAATAATTAATTATACAGGCCATTTTTCATCACGTGGTAAAATTGCTATATTCTACACTGTAATAGATTCAATGGTAAAAGGTATGAAGAAAAAATTCACAGGTACTTTCACCGTTCTTGATCTACCCAATAGAATTGTTATTTCAGAAAATATTGAGAAACGGAAAAAGTTTCATCATATTCGAAATGTACTGTGACGATGTAACAATAAATCTTTGACTAAACATTTCACGTCAACACGCCTATCATCAGTTTTAATTTTTAATACGAACCTGTATCTTTCATCACAACGTAACCAAAACAAATTTAATATCATTTAGTAGGTTGGGAATCACAAGTTAAAAGGTTAGACCTCGTTAGTCCTCAGCTCGCACCAGTTTCTCAGAGTTGTCCTTCGTATGGGGACGACAACTGATTAACGGAAAAACAGATTTCAAACAGATTTAAACAGACAGATGCTCAATCAACGAACTTTTTTTGAAGACAGAGCACTGAAATCTAAAAATAACACTAAATTTCTAGTAGTGCTCATTGACCAGAATTTGAAATTTGTGAATCATGTTAAACAACTCACTAGGAAGTCTCCTCTGGCTGTTACGCGGTTAGAGTGATTTATAAAGAATTCGGGCTCAGCACTGCAAAGATGGCGTACGTATTATGCACTCATAAAATCTCACTTACGCTACGGACTACCGTTTTGGGGAGCATGCACTACATACAACTTCATTCAAAAGTCTACAACTTTCACAGAAAAGGGCAATAAGGTATATAGGAAACCGTAAACCAAGAGATTCTCTGTAGAACCTTCTTCAAAAAACATAATATTCTAACGGTAACTGCATTATTTATATTGGAATCTGTGTGTTTGATAAATAAGCAAACATTAAATTTTGCTGCATCGTCTTCCCATTATAACACCCGAAACCGCAGACACTGTGCCAACTAAAAACATCACCACTCCATATTTTACAACGGTGGAAAAGTGTAGAAATATAGAATTTGCCTATGGATATAAGGTCTGTCAATATAAATGACTTTCATTTCAGGAAGTTATTCAAACAATTTATATCTGATAGACCCTATTATACTTTAGATGAATATTTTAACGATAGCTTTTAACTTTTTAACTGACTTACTCATATTTTTCATCTTTATCGATTAAGGAGCTCCTAAAGTGTTAATTTTAACGTCTACACTTTTATAAACTCGACTTTTACTCTTTTATAACTAAATATCTTTTATATCCTACATTTCAACATAGTTTGTACCCATGCACCATATTTATTTTAATTTTATGTATGTATTGCATGTTTTAAAGTTTTTACTACCCAAGCTTTGTCTACAAGATTATGTAGATGATTAAGCATATTATCATTTTTTTTTCACCGTAGTGTGCGCTGGTCAGGCCCTATCCCCCGAAGCCCCGATACATTCGGGAGGGCGCGCCAGCATAATCAACCAATGACCACTCCCCACACCGTGGGGTAAGTGATCATTGGGTCCGAGAATCATGTGCCC